TTTACATATAAGTGGTGATTTTTGCGTAAAACAAAGACCCTTACCATTAGCCTTATTTGTACCACTATGCTCCTAATAAGGCCATCAATAAAAAAAATTTAAAATAAATAGAATAATTTATGAAAATATTATTTTTTGACGAAAAGTTCTCAAAATAGAACTTTAACGTTTGCTGCATTCTAAAAAAAAAATAATTTTTCAAGTCCTGGGATGGGGATCCAAATAGGTCTACATACAACTAGGACAACTGAACCGCAGCTTTTCTTGCTTGGTTAGACTCCAGGCGCTCTAAAACACATCACTTAAGTTATAATATGATACATTCTTTTAAAAAACCACTGTGATGTGAGGCCAATTGAAAATTTTTCATGTGGCCTTATTAAGAACATGTTACATTGATGAAAAAAAGTCTGTGACTAGAAATCTAGAAAAGATATTATTCTTTACTTATTCTGTAGCTTTCTCAATACATAAATGTCCGTGTAAAAATTAAATTCGCTCCATTCCCTTCATGAACATGTGTATAAACTAATTAAGTTCCAGCCTCAAAGTTATAACGTGACATATGAAATATGTGGTTGGCCATTTTTCGACATATAACGAGTTGCTACGAATCCTTGCAATAATTTTTGATTTGTATTATAGATATCTTTTTTAAAAATATTGTAATTTTTGAAGGTGGGATTCAATATTAAGCAATAAGCGGCACTGGCCTTATAAGGTACATGGCCTTATTTGGGTCAGGTACCTTATATATTTTTTCAAAGTTTTATATATATCGAACTTTGCACGGTGCCAAATTCGATGTATATAATATTTTTTCAAGTTTTATAAATATTGAATTTTGCATGGGGCCAAATTCAATATATTTATTTTTTCAAAGTATTTTATATATATCGAACTTTGCATGCTGCTAAATTCGATATAAATATTATTTTTTATTTTAAATATAGGTATGCAAAATAGTGGTCATTTTTATCTATATATTGTTTTTCCTGCAAAATATTTTACATATAAAGACGAAATATTTATGGAACATATGGCGCCCCATAGATAAACTATCCAGAAAACTTCAGTAAAAAGGAAATTTTCCGAAATTACCGGATTCGCGAAGTATAATTTTTTTATTAAATAACATTTTAACAAATAACACATTTATGAAAACAGTTTAGTAATTTCAAAACTTAGAGTAAAATATTATGAATGTGGCCACCATGATTGTTTACCACTTCTTGAAGTCGTCTGCGCCATAAATTGATAGCCCCATTTATTGCACCCTGTTCAAATATGTTCCAAACAAACTGCATTCTTTCTTTCAGCTGCTCGATTGTTTCAAATTGTTGTCATACAAATTTTGTTCGAAAATTTCCCAAATTGAATAATCAACCGGATTTAATTCTGGGCTGTTAGGTGGCCACATTTCTGGCTCAATATAATCTGGGCAATTTGCACTCAAAAACATCCTTGTACTATGGGAAGTGTGCGAGAGAATACCATCCTGTTGGAAAGTGTAATCGTAACAAACATCTTCAATTTCTGGTAATAGGTGTTGCAAGATTTGTTCTTGATACGTTTCTGAATTGAGTTTTACCCCAGCATCAACAAAAATCTTTTCCCAACATGGATACTGCAACAGAGACCATTACACCTTTTGAGAAATGACTTTTTTCAATCAAAAGATGCTCTAAAGGAATTTCTCTCTTATACTGTACGTCAGAATATACCCTATTATCACCGGCGTATACAAGGGGGGGTAATGGGGGTAATTCCCCCCCCCCAAGATCGTTACGATGGACGAAAAAAATGTACCCCCTACACCTTACAAATAAATCTATTTTTTATAGTTTTACTTTTCAGCAACTTACCCTAAGTTAAGTTTGCACAGTGTCCGCACTGGCCGCATGCCAATTATAGCGAATTCTATTCAAAGGGATAGTGCACACTGAGTGTATTCGTATCTTTCTCTACTAGCTTGCATAAGAAAGAGATAAATACATTTCTTGTATTAAAACGTCACTAAAAGTGTCATTTTTAACGGATGCTGTCAGTGTCTAAAATGCCATTTTATGACACTGGTGTTAAAAGTGATTACTTTTAGCACTAGTGTAATCACTTTTAGTGCGTTTGTAGAAAAAATAGTGTATGACATTCGTGCTAAAAGTGATTTTATTTTGTTCAAAGGGATGGAACACTCCGCCTTTGGCGTCGTGTCCCAAACTTCCCTTTTCACAAAATAAAATGGCACTTTTAGCACTTATAACATAAATAACTATTTTATCTCTTTCTTAAGCTGGTAGAATAAGATACGAATACACTCAGTGCGCACGCACCCTTATTCCAATGGAATTCGCTATCAGTATCAGAGTTCGGTTTTGTTATTTGTTGGTAGTACAGAATATATTTACCTAACAAGTGCGGAAAATGAATTTTTCCGCATGTATTAGGTACAATATTTTTTCTACAGACGTGCGGAAATAAGTGAATACATATACCTACATAATTTGTAGTAATTTATTGATTTTTTTTTTGACAGCCGTGCGGAATAGTATATTCTATAACAAGTGTGGAATAAGCAAAATTCTACACGAGCGGTTTGTTCCGAGTGTAGAATTTTGAATTCCACACGTGTTATAGACTATACTTTTTCTACGACTAGAATCAAATGAAATAACCAACAACGGACCACAGACACAGATAGGAGCGCCTAGGGTGATTTCGAACGCACTCCAAAATTTGATCTTTTAACGATACGTCAAATATCAACATTTTCAAACAGCGTTTTCTATTTTCCATCCTCTTTTCATCAAAAAGGCTACAAAGTACAATAATTGTGCTGGACTTCTTGCTCTAGCAATTAATACAAAACGTCGATTTTAGTGATTTATTTGTATTTTGTAGTATTTTTGAGGTTTTCCAAGTATTTCTGCAGTTTGCGTAGTGCAGCTGGTGTAGAAATAGATAAACTTCCTGTACTCTCCTGTGTTTCCAGCTTATGATATTAGATGGCGCCACAGGTGTTCATTCCATAACAAGTGATGGAATGAATATTCCTGCACTAATGAGGGAATGAAGCTATTCCATATACAAAAACTGAGTCGGAATGGACGAATTCTCCAATAGTCGTAGAAAAAAGATTTTTTTCTACGACTGCTTCAGAAAGCTATTAAAAACGCACTACTAACTCACCTAGGAAATCAATTATTCCGCACAGCGTGCGAAAAGAAACTTTTCACACGCTAAAATAAAAATCACACTTCTACTGAATTTTTGGTTTGCAAGTAACTCTGAGTGCATTCAACGTACGTACCAACATAGTTCGTTGATTATAACCTTAAATATAATAATTTATAACAAAAAAAATTAAATCTCAATGTGAATATAGTTATTTCGCAGTCGTAGAAAAAGTATAGTGTGTAACGCGTGTGAAAAGCACTTTTCACACTCATGCGGTTTGCGCCACTCGCCTGCGGCTCGTGTCACCAAACTTCCCCACGCGTGTGAGAAGTGCTATTTTCAACACTTGTTGCACAATATACTATTCCGCACCGATATCCGTGCGGAAAAAATTTCGCCGCACCGTGCGAGAAAATCGATTTTCCGCACTGTTTAATTGTCCTCATTCTCGTAGAAAAAAAAATGTTTTGAAGGCTAAAAGTAAACGTTTTTGGGCGTGGCACCCGGAAAAAAATGGGCTGATTACCCCCCCCAGACGCATGGGCTGGATACGCCGGTGCCTATTATTTTGGGTATTTTTAGGTGACCGTAAATAAAACATTTTTTCATCTGAAAACCATATTTTTCTAATGTCTTCGCGAGAGCGAAATCCTCGTAGTAGCTAAGAGTAGCACTTAAAAAGCACCTAATTATTATATAGATCCTGAAGTTTTTTTCCATTCTGACACACCAACAAGTAAACGTAGAGCCAGCAGTCCCTTTATAATTAAAAAAAAAAAATCTGTAACTCAGTTAATAATTAATCAATTCTATTTTTTTTTCGACTATTTAGGAGCACCTAAAAAACACCTAATTCTGATACAAAAGAAAATTTTGGAAAAATATTTTTCACTATAAGGGACTACTAGCTTTCATAAACCTAGCAATCCCTTAGTTTTTTTTTTGATTTTTTCAAAAACTAGAGGAGCGCCTTATTTTTAATTAGAGGCCCTAATTAGCACCTAATTATTATACAGATCCCGAAGTTTTTTTGCCATTCTGACCTCGATTCTGACACACCAACAAGTAAACGTAAAGCCAGCACTCGAGCCAGCAGTCCCTTTATAATTAAAAAAAAAAATCTGTAACTCAGTTAATAATTAATCAATTCTATTTTTTTTTCGACTATTTAGGAGCACCTAAAAAACACCTAATTCTGATACAAAAGAAAATTTTGGAAAAATATTTTTCACTATAGGGGACTACTAGCTTTCGTAAACCTAGCAATCCCTTAGTTTTTTTTTGATTTTCTCAAAAACTAGAGGAGCACCTAATTTTTAATTAGAGGCCCTAATTAGCACCTAAAAAGCACCTAATTATTATACACATCCCGAAGTTTTTTTGCCATTCTGACACACCAACAAGTAAATGTAAAGCCAGCACTCGAGCCAGCAATCCCTTTATAATTAAAAAAAAAAATCTGTAACTCAATTAATAATTCTATTTTTTCTTGGACTATTTAGGAGCACCTATAGGACTGCTAGCTTTTATAAATCTAGCAGTCCCTTAGTTTTTTTTTTGATTTTCTCAAAAACTAAAGGAGCGCCTAATTTTTAATTAGAGGCCCTAATTAGCACCTAAAAAGCACCTAATTATTATATAGTTCCCGAAGTTTTTTTCCACCTTGGGACTGGGACTGCTAGGTTTATAGACATGGAAATATCTCAGTTAGTACTGTTATTAGTGTTAATCAGTGTAAAAATTTTGTTAGGTGGAAAACCTCTCGAGAATAGCTTATATTTATTATAAATTTGAGTCAATTCACTTATTAATGTAGAATATCTTACCTTGATTTTAAAAGACATTGCGACTGTTCGGCTTTGGTCTTGACACTAGAACAATTTCAAATAAAAATTGCTTGAACTTCTAATCTATTTTAATTATTGATAAATAGGGCGATGGCCTTATGTATTGATAACTTTTTTATTACTTAATAAAAGATAATGGATTATTATAATAATAAAAATTTAAATAAATTAATGACAACCGGCATCATCAAATAAACAGCTGATACCGATTTTGAGGTTATGTCCTGTTTTGACTCTTCTTTATTCGATTTGCCATTCTTGTTATTTTTCGTTAGTGCAACAAGGATACGAATAAAAATCCTATAAAGACAATTTGACAGGAGGCTGACATTGACAAAAAGTTGTTTTCATTACCAAACGAAAACACTCAAAACGAAATTTAATTTTTTTTTAAATTAATTATTAAAATGTCATTAATTACAAATTGTTAATTCATTTGAGTCTTTTTCGCGTCTATTTTATTCCCTAATTAGTGCGGCCAGTTTTGGTCACAGTCACTCGATTTGTGCGTTAAAATGGCATCAAAGGGTCATTTGAACGATGAGGTAAGTTTTAAATAATCAGTTTTCCCTTTTTTTAGTTTCAAATGCATGCGATATCTGAAAAAAAACAATGCCAAAACAAACTGAACAATCCTTTATGTAAGGATTTTTTATCATTTTGCTGATAAGATAAGGAATATTTGAATACAATGAAGGCCACGCCTATTTTATTTTGACCATTTTTAAAGGGTACCTTGTTGTTTTGCCCTACATTTGTTCCTTTAATTATTGAGTATTGACCCTCACTATAACACTGGCCAGACGGAGAATAACTCCAAGGTAAACATTGCAACTAAACATGTTTACCCTGGAGTTAGAACCAAGAAACCTACCCTTAATTAATGATTTACAATTCCTTGATTTTTTAATAGTCTTCGGCTATCTGTCCTTAGGTTTTAGGACTGGTTTATCAGTGAACGGTTATCTAGTTTAGCTGTTAGTTAACTAATAATAACTCAAAAATTGATCCTTAATTTGTAAAATGTTTTAATTTATTTTACAATACTAATTCTAATTAGTTATTATTATTGTGTTATCATTAAGGTATCAATCAAGAATAGAGAAGAAAACTTATAAGAATTTTCTTGATTTTTTAGTTCAGTCAATTTAAGCTTTTCAAAGAACTACTCAGAATAGTGTTTCACTGGGTTTATAACAGTGCCTAGAGAATATTATTTTTATTTATTTGTTTTGTAGTCTTTGTAGCTGTTTTAACTGTTCCAGGGTAACATTTCTATAGCATGGTATCACCTGAAGTGTGGCTCGATGAAACTATTATAGATTAAATATTTTGAGTTTTCATTTACACCTCCTCACAGCTCCCAAGAATGGAGCAATTTTTGCATGAATACCTTCTTTCACTGTGTGCTCCCTATGTCAGTTTGTCTGTTATTATAAGACCTAAGTATTTAATTATATTACTCCACTTTTTTGAGAATTTTGCCATTAATTCAAATTGTTGGGCTTATTGTTCTTTTTCTCATCTGATGTGGGACCATAATATAGACTATCTTTTCAACATTTATACTGAGTTTATTGTAGGAGAGCCAATCAAAATAGTGTACTAAATTTTCATTCAGAATATTTTCAAGTTCAAGTTTAAGCCTATTAGGTTGATTTTTCGAATCTTTGAATTCTTTCTCTGTGTGCTCGTTTTGTATCCTTTTCAATCTCACCTATAGTTGGTCCCGTTCTTGTAATTTTCCAATATATGCTTAGTACATTCTTTTTTTGTATTATTTATAAAAGCTGCCAGTGTCTCAAATTTATTACTATTATTCCTCGTATTATTCTCATCTATGTTTCTTTATCCAAGATTGATTTGACCTTCAAAAATATGATTCTATGGTCAGAAATATTGTGATCTTCCATTTTCATGTTACATTGTATATTTCTATTAGTTATTATGTAGTATGGTGGCAGTTTTTACTGTTGTTCTTGGGGCATTTTGAAGACTGATTATATTTTGAATTTTGTATCCATTCATCTCCACCATATTTTTATATGCTGTAACTATCTGTGATTTTTTTAGGAGATCCAGGTTAATGTCACCAATAAGGGATTTTTTATGTTTTCGAACAGTTTGTCCACTTGTATAAATTATTTGCTTTTGTTTTTTAGAGGTTTATATACATCAAATACTGTCTTTTGCTATGGTAAATATACAGAGACCATGCCGAAGACCATGCTACTATTTGTCATACATGTTGTTGGTTTGCTGTTCAAAATGTATGTTATTCGATTTTTCACATAAATACTTGCGCCTCCCTCCTCCTCCTAGTAGTTCTACAATCATGTACAGCAGTATATGATGGTATGTTGAAATAGTCTTTTTCGCTTCTTGACTTTGTAGTACCTTTGTACCATGTTATTGAATTCACTTTTTTTGTTTCGTATGCTTCTAATATTGGCATACAAGATATTAAGGTTTTCAGCTACTACCATTTTGACATTTGCTCTTTTTTTTTATCTTTTACCGAGGGCTGTGACACTCCTGAAATCAAGTGTACACTTTGTTCAAACTCACATAAATCAATAGAAATCACCGAAATCTGTAAAATCAAGCAAAATCACATTAGATCCCTTGATCATCATCATCATGATCATTGAAATCTTGAAAAATCTCCTAAAATCATTCGAAATCAATGCAAATCAAGTCTATCCGAAAAATCAATCAAAATCAAGAAAATCCTCGAGAAAATCTTTGTAAATCACTTAAAATCATCACAAATCACATACAATTTGTTGAAATCCTGGAATTGTTGTTTTCTAAGGCAGTTCCTTCACCAATAAAATATTCAAAATTCGCGTTTTTTTTGTTTTGTTGTTTAATTTTGGCCCAATTAATAAAATGAGCCTATGTGCGCATATACATACACTGTGTCCCAAATTTCTGTGATAACAAGGTTTCTCAGTAACCAGCAGAGATAGCTTTGTGTTTTTCGCGATCTAGTTTTTTGCGAAACTTAGAATGCTGCAAACAGAATGATGTCACCTTGTTTTGTTCTAGAGTTACAGGGTGAAATAGAACACCCTGTAAGATAGAAAAAAGGTGAAAACTGCTGTAGAAAATTGATGTAGACATTTTTTTTAGACAAATTGTTTTCGAGATATACCCCAAACTTAGTATTTTAAAATTTTGGGACCAAAAAATACCCTGTATTTTTTGGTCCCAAAAAATTCGCCTTTTTTTCACCTTGAAATGATGCATCACACTTTGCACTGTGATTCAAACTAACTCTTAAAAAGGCAATAATAAAAGAAAAACGTGAGTTGGCCTTGGAATTATAAATACCTATTAAACACAAGCAAAACTGATTAAAATTATTAATTTTTTAAATAACCATTTTTTACTTTGGACTTGAAAAACTTAATGATCTTAATGAACTTAGTGACGCAATATTAACTATTGACTACAACACTGGATTCTACATAAAAATATCTATCTACCTATAGTAGTTTTCACCTTTTTTCTATCTTGGTTTCTGAAATATAACCACCCCAAAAAAGCGCAAAATTTCTATTTCACCCTGTATCTCGGGAACGGAACAAGGTGGCACAATTCTGTTTGTGGCATTCAAAGTTTCACGAAAAATTGATACAAGTTGGCGAAAACCGCAAAGTTCTATATCTGCTGGTTACCGAGGAACAAGCAATTTGGGACACAGTGCACATGGGGTGCTGTTTTCCCCTTAAAGATTGTGTAATTTGGCAGTCGGTGTACACATTTTGAGTCAGCTATTCACCCCTCGCCTGTCGCCTATACTACTCAAGATCGAAATTACTCACAGCACAGCATGGTGTAATTTCTCTGAAGTGGTAGTATTGACACAGTAAAACTTCTCAACTTTATATGATGCCACTTACTTACTTGATATAACGTTGCTAATGGTATGAGTCATTACCAATAATTTCGATCTCGACATAGATATAGTAAATGGTAGGTACTGAAATCATGAAATCTGTGTGAATCTAGTAAAATCACATTTACTCTTGGGAAATCAATGAAATCAACAAAATCAAGTGAAATCAGCAAAATCAAGAAAAATCATAATATAATTATCTCAGGAAATCGTTGAAATCAAGTGAAATCGTGAGATTTTACCGAGGATTTTACCAAATCTAATTTTTGATTTCATTGATTTCCACTCGGATTAAGGTAATGAAAATCAAAAATCAGGTGTACAAAATACTTGGAAGTGTCACACCCCTCGTGTTTTACTAAAGTATATTCCTGATGCATTTTGATTATTCAAGATCTTCTTGGCTTCTTTTCTAATGGGCAGGTTGCATTCACCTTTCTTTAGGTATACTTTGCCATTTGTGACAATTGCCGCTTCATAATTGTTCTCCTTCTTATGCACCCTTGCTTTCTTGTGAATTAGCTGGTTTAAACGTGTCAACTTGCTAATAAATATCTGCAAGATAAATTAACTGTTCTATAATTTTATTGATGGGCGTATAACTGGCTGACCAAAAGGTTTAGGTACAGACGAGGGTACAGATTGCATTTTTATCTGTCAAATTGCATACCTGACAGTTTATCAGAAGGTGAATAAACTGGCCCTGAATCCAATAACACTTTTTAAACATATTAGGTATAAGATTATGGTAGAGAGAAGTTCGGGTTGAGAATAATGTGGAATAAAACTTCCTTATTTATAAATTCAGTAACGTTTCGATATTTTATTGAGGTCTCTATCAAGGTTTCATATAACAAAAGTGTATATAAAGAGTCTTGTTAAAGACCTAAATAAAAAGTTTCAAGGATAGGAGAACAAAAAACCCATGAGAACATTCTAAATTTTTTCAAATTTCTTGATTTTTTTAGTTGTTCAGTCGGTCTAATTAAATTCTTATTAAGGTCAAGCTTTTCAAAGAACTACTTAGAATATCTTCTTCCAATAAATTCAAATTAAGAATAATTTCATAGAATTTTGGAAAATCACATTTAAAATCAAGATAGATAAGTAATTGTTTATTTATTCCAATAACACTTAATAAACATATTAATAAGATGTTATAATAGAATATGTACTTACTTTAAGTAATTTCAGTTCTGACAAATCATATCCTGATTTTGTGTGGTGGCAGCTTTAAATTCTGAACTAGAAATAATTTCCAATTACTTAGTTAAATGTAAACAATTTAAAATTAAATGTATATCAAAAATTAAATATATGTTTAGAGGAAACTATACCTACCTGAAACATAAAACTGAGAACCTTGAAGCCAACCCAGAAAATAATTCCCAACTTCTTAAGGTCCTGTTCTCACAAACCAATCACACTATAGTCAAACAGAAAACTGTTTGTTAGTGATTCACACCAATCAAAAACGCTCTATGATTTTAATCTTAATTTGATCCTGAACCCTTTCGGCACGGTACAAGAATAGTTATTAGATACAATAATTGAGCTGCTCAAGAAACTGTAGATCAGAATACAAATGATGTATAATTGTTTGAGTGTAATTTTGTTCTCATTCTAATTTATAAGTAGAGGTAAGTAGGTATACACTGAGGGGTCGACAACATGTGGTGATAGGTGTACACATTTCGGTAATAATTACATAATAACTGGAAGTAAAATGTAATATTTACGTAATAATTCATAATAGATGGTAATGACCATCACCAGTAATATGTGGTAATATATTATGAAAGTGGTAATAGATGTACAGGGTATTTGATTATATTTGGCACCATACCTACAGCCTTTACTATTTAAGATAGAAAAAAAATTTAAATACAAAACTTGACAGTTTTTTTTTTATATTTTCTGATAACGTTATCAGAAAAAACAAAATCGCATCGGAAAATGGAAAAACGTAAGCAGCTTCGACTTTTTTAATGGACCACCCTGTATAGTTTAAGATAAAATGAAAGATCTATTCTTTCTGATTCCAAATATATATATATTGATAACATTTGCATGAGCAATTATTGACATATCTTAGGTTAAATTTTAAAGAATTTGCAAAGAAGTTCCATAAGGATCTCTATCTTTATAAAATTTCTTTGCAATTTAGTTATAATTTAAGCTGAGATATGTCAAAAATGGCTCATGCAAATGTGATCAACATATATATATTTGTAATCAGGAAGAAAAGGTCTTTCATTTTATCGAAAAATATACAGGGTGTTCCATTTAAAAAATCGAAGTTGTCTACGTTTCTCCATTTTCCGATGCGATTTTGTTTTTTTTGATAACGTTGAAAGAAAATATAGAAAAAAACTGTCAAGTTTTGTATTTACAATTTTTTTCCATCTTAAATAGTAAAGGCTGTAGGTATGGTGCCAAATATAATCAAATGCCCTGTACAGGGTGGCCCATTTTCGATGTTTTAATAGGCTATATCGAAAACCAGCAGAGATATCAAAAATCTGGGAGCACATTCTCGAGCTCTTTTTTTGAGAAAACAGCAATGGCGAAGACGAATCATGGCTAACTTGATGCATTTAGGAAATACAGGGCACTTTTCAAATTTTGCACAATTTTAGAAGACCTTCTAATTTCTTTATTAATCAAGATATCTAAAAACGAAACATACTTTCTATAGGCAGTTTTTCAAGGAGAATCCAGTGGCATGACCAATTTTTCTCCAGATGCCTCCGATTTTGGAATATTGAGTAGTGTTTTTTTAAATGGGACGCCCCGTATATTATTTTTTTATTGAATAGCTCTTTGTGAGCTGATTTCAATGATATAAGTTTTAATACCTTTATCTTCTATAGTTTTGGAGAAAAAAAAAATTAATTCCGTTTTTTCATAAGAAACAATGAGCTATAAGTCACTCAATAAATTATGTGTTGCCTATTTATCACCCCCGATTCATAGTTCAAATTAAAAAAAAAATTAGCTGAAATGAAAAATTGAATTAAGAATTACGAAATTTGTAGCCCATTCATAGTTCAACTATCCCTTTCTAACTCATTGTTTCTTATGGAAAAAACGGAATTTATTCTTTTTCTCCAAAACTATTGAAGGTAAAGGTATAAAACCTTATATCATTGAAATCAGCTCACAAAGAGCTATTCAATGAAAAAAAAATATATGGGGTGTCCCATTTAAAAAAAACACAACTTTGGTCAATATTCCAAAATCGGTGGCATCTGGAAAAAAATTGGTCATGCCACTAGATTTAACTTGAAAAACTGCTTCTAGAAAGTATTTTTCGTTTTTGGATATCTTGAATAATAAGGAAATTAGATAGTCTTTTAAAATTGGACAAAATTTGAAATTAAAACATCGAAAATGGGCCACCCTGTACACACACCATGATTTCCATATTTGGCAATCACTGATCAATGGATTTCATGTACCTATTCCCATCCCAAGAATTGCGACTGATTGCCAATGATTTTCAGATATTTTTGTATGATTACCCAGGTGATTTCCATTTTTTTTTTGAGGATTATTATATCATTCCCAATTGATTACCTGATTTCCTACAATCATCCGATTTCCAGCTGATTTTATTACATCTTTTCTCCTATAAAAACTCGTTTCCACTGATAAATTGTCAATTTCTGTATTTGCAACTCTCCCCAAAAGTTACCAACTTCTATTTTCATGGTTGTCAACACTCACACCGATTTTGTTGTAGGTATAAATAGTTCTTGAGCCCTAGATACCATTGCGTGTCTACACTACATAATATGGATCTGAAATAATGGATATTTCTTTGATTTCACTAAGATTTTTATCTGAATCAGAGACATCTTTAGTTAGGGTTTCACTTGACAAACTTATTTCTGATTAAGTATTTGCTTCAGATGTGCTATGTGCTATCGTCTCTATTTCTGCATAATATTTATTCTACTTTCCCCTTGCCTTGGATTCCTGACATTTTCTTTTGTGTCTTCCTCAGGGACATTCCTATAGCTCTTAATACTCGATCTACAAACGTCCCTGCTTCTCTGAAAAGAACCAAATTAAAGTTGAACCCTGAATAATCTCTAAATTGTAGCGAATCGCAATTACTAAAGCCTGATGTGTAAAGAAATTCTGTAAAAAATTTAAACTAAGTTTGTGATAATCTTCTTTAATGATGATTTCTAAATTAGCAGTGTTCTTGTCAAAATAAGTGATGCAAGTATTATCTGCATATAAATTGAGAGAGCCCTGAAGACAGTGAGTTGAATCACTGATTTGTAATGATTTTCTGAGATTGATAATAATTATTAAAATCAGTAAAGTCATGTAATACTCGTATTCTCCTACATTAAAGCCGAATATACTGAGCTTTACTGGACGCTCCACTAACATATATCGCACTAAGTATATAAATGAATGACATTAGTCCTCAATGGAATAAACACTGTCCAATTATTTGTCGCTTAGCCTTGTGACGTAACGAGAGGGGGCGACCGGAAGTACGAAATGCGTCACGGGGTCTCTTAAATGGACAAGATTTTGATTTATTGCTTGCAACATTTTTTGTATTAGACTACATACTAACTCTCAAACAAAACTAAAACCAACTATGTATTTCCCTAATCGTTTCCAGTTTCATGGGAAACTTGCCAACTGCAAAATAAGCATTTTGGTATCGATCCGCACCCTTCCCTAGTTTGCTTCCGACAATTTGCCACCGCCAAATTTCTTAATAATATCACGTGCAAGGAAACAAACTATTACATTGTATGAGACATGCTTTAGAAATTACACAAACTGACCATTCAGTGGGTGGTCGAGTTTCCGGATAAAAAAAAATTAAAATTAAATGGTCCAGAATAATAATAATATGCGGTTTAAGACGTTTTAAAGAATCTCAAATAAATTAAATTGAGAAAATGTTTTTTTGTAAGGAGCTGGTTAAATTTGGAGGTTGGTTGGTTCTTTTGCTATTTATTCAAAAACCTTGTATGATCAGTATTAATTTAGTTACTTAACAATAATTGAAATGGTGCTGCTTCAGTTTGCATCTAGATAGTTGAATCTCGCTATTAAATTAGAAAATTGGGCTTTTATTATTTGGGCGACGGAGACATTTTGTGTTTATCTTTTTTTGGTCTTATGGCATTGGGAGATTTTTTGATTGTAAATCCTTCCAGTTTTTCTCAATATTAGATCCGTAGGTACACAACTGGAAAAAAAAAATCCCAGCTTAACCCAAGGGAAAACACTGGTCTGTAAATCTTATAGAAGATTTATTATTTCTAGTTGTATATTTTCCTTTCTTTCGTAAAGCTTTGTATTTTTCCATATACCCTACATGCATAATGGATAAAGTTTCCTAGAGTGATTACTGATTATTTTAGGCAGAGATTTTTCGTTATAGGACAATCATGTTTGAAATTCAGCATTGACTACCAGAATTCACCATTACCAAACAATACGTACGACAATGAAAAGCCATCATTACGCGGCTATTTAACAATAAAAGCGGGAATAATAATTGCAAGCATTACCGAGGCGGCCGTTCCCGAGAGCCACCAGTCGTCACGTCAGTCTCGTAAAGTCGCGTCGATTTCGCGTTCCAATTTTTTTTTGGTTTTGTCGCAATCCTGCGGGATTTTGTTGAGGGTTTTTTTCTTCTGGAGTGACATCTAAAGTGCCAGAATTGCGAAAACGAAATTATGAATAGCAATGGGAATGAAGATGTAAGTAGGTTATAGGGCGCATTTTGTACTTGTATGGCTTTAAAGTATCAGGTATTTAATCCGTTTATTGACTGTTTGCATGCTATTAAATTGACTGCAAATCCAGAAACCGAATTTGAACGTATAGATGTAATGGGAATCATCTTGTTTATTTGAAATCGATAAAATGCGCTATCAATTCGATTTTGGTCTTCTATTGCACGTTCCTGAATTGTTCCAGTCTTTGCGGAGCCCAAATGCCCAGGAATGGATTTTCTGATATTTTCAAATTGGGTGGATAATGATATTTTTTGAGAAACTTATATATGCACAAATGATTTTTTGTGTGGCAGTTTTCATAGGAATTTTTATATTTTCACCTTAATATTTCGAAACTCGTGAGAGATATTGAATCAAAATTCTTTTTCCCATTAGGCTTCAAACATTGGAAAATATTTCCAGGCTTATAGTTATTCAGAAAATTGAGTTTAAAATTTTTAACAAAATTTTGACTAAAACTCAACTTTGAGGCTCAATCACTAGAAAAGTATTTGAGTTATTAGAATCAATCTAGGACGGATTTATAGAGAATTTAATGCTCTTTCTAATTCAAAATTCAAAATTTTATTAACGCTATTAAAGCATTTACAGTGTTATCAATTTAATATAAATGTCAAGCTACAAAATAAATCCCTATAAATATAACAGAACAATTAAAAGTCAAAATATATGTTTTAAAATACACACTATTTAGTCACAACTCTATATAAAAAATAAATCACACAATGTAAGACATGAAATATAAAAATATAAAAAAGACAAAAAAGATAAAAAAATGATAAAAAAAGATGATAAAAAAAAGATGACGGATTAAAAGGTAAAAGTTACAAAATCAAACAAAAACAATAACAACAATTTAAAACAGTTCAAAATCCTGTCTGACAATACAACAATTAAGTTAGTAGGTGTTTTTTAACTTTAGATATAAATTGGTTAAAGCTATCATTAAAAATATCAATATTATCACATTTCTTTATCACATCATTCGTCAATCTACACAATCTTGATATGGGTGAGTTCAGACCGTAGTTCGTTCGTTGAAAATCAATATAAAAAAGCTGACTTATTTCTGGAATTAAGAGGAGATATGTGTAGACCAATATCTGCAAGTAATTCAGTCCATAATATTATTTAAGATTTTATACAACAAACAGACGTCAAAAGAGTTTCTCCTACTCTCCAAAGATGATAGGTTCAACAATTTTCTAAGTTCCTCACAGTTAATATTTTCATATGGAATATTTAGTTTGAATCCTATTCTTTTGATAAATTTATTCTGTACTCTAATAATATATAGTTCATTTCAATTTGCTCAAATTTCAATTAAGATATGAGCAATAACTCCTTACCTTGTCAGGATTTGAAAAAATTTCCAGAGCTAAAATTGAGATTTGCTTTTGGATTTTTTTAATCTTTGAAAATGCCATTTGAAAACGATGTTAGAGTTTCTTTCGACTAATTTGAACCCACTTTATCGATTGGAATGATCGTTTCCAGGTCTATGGTTATTGACTTTGAAATACAGGATGTTCCAGCGGAAAGTGAACCATTTTGAATGGTTATAACTTTTAAACCAGGTGTGCTAGCTACATGCGGTTTGCACCATTCGATTTCTCTTGGTCTAAAGTTTTTTCTATAGTGGTTTGCAAACTTATACAGGGCAAGTAAAAAAAAAATCTGTTTTTCAACATTGAAATTCTCCACTATTTTTAATGGAACACCCTGTATATCACAACGTCAAAAAAAAAAAAGAATAATGTTCAAGGTATCCATGCACGAATAGACATAATCCCTAAAACTTGAAGTTTTAGACTTGAAAAATCAAAATCGAAATCTTGGTATTTTTGCAAACGCATATTGACAAAGCTTGGAACTTATGTTTGCCCAAGAAAAAGTTAATAAAAACTGCATAAAACTATACAAAATGCTGTATATGTATATGTTAACCGTTCTGTTCCAGGCATTGATGGATCAGTAAATGGGTGAATGACTTGTGTAACATTTCCTGGGGAATCGCTTCAATGACATTACAAATGTTCCGCCTAAGATCTTTCAAGCTATTTGAGCAAAGGATTACAGCATCTTTCCTTGACATAACTCCAGAGAAAAAAGTGTGGAACTCTCAAGTCAGGAGAGTAAGGTGTCCATTCTATAGGACCTTCATATCCGTCTTTCTCCAAATGTCATATCTAGTGATTCTCTTGCTGTAAAAGAATAATGAGGTAGGGTCACCATCCTGCTGGGAATAGATATCATCCAAGATACCCTCCTGTCTTAACTGTGGAAAAAAGAACATATCAGTGTATACAATTTTTGTTATCGTTGGTTCATTAATGGAAATGGTCTTTATTTTTTCTTAATAGAAATGGCACACCAAACTGTTACTATTTGACGAGTTCCAAAATTTTCTTGGAAATTGTATTTTAACTTAATTGATATCTCACTAGACAATTACAAAATTCTTTGTCATAGTGATATCAAGTACCTACAACATGAAGTTGCATGCGTTTGCAAAAATACCAAGATTTCGATTTTGATTTTTTACCTCCTAAAACTTCAAGTTATAGGGACGATGTCTATTGGTACATGGATGCCTTGAATATAATTCTTTTTTTTTGAAGTTGTGATATACAGGGTGTTCCATTGATGTTGAAAAACTGATTTTTTTTCACTTGCGCTGTATAAGTTTCAAAAAAATTTGCGACCTACTAGAAAAAACTTTGGAACAAGAGAAATCGAATGGCGCCAACCGCAGGTAACTAGCACACCTGGTTTAAAAGTTATAACCATTTAAAATGGTTCACTTTCGGCTAGGACACCCTGTATTTAATAGTAATATCACAAGTGCAATGGAAATTATCGATAATTTTTGGGAAATTTGCCCGAATGCATTTTTGGTTGAAAAAGAGCACGAGTGCACGTAGTGCACGAGTGCCTTTTTCAGTTAAAAACGCATGAGTGCAAATTTGTCGAAAATTATAGATATATTTCCATTGCACGAGTTGTATTTTATGAGAGAATTTCATGAATCAAACATTTAAATTTTTTGTCAAAAAATGTCAAAACACCAGTTACTATGCAATTATCCGACCAGTGCAAATTATCGCGTAATTCCAATCTGATTGGTTCAAATCAACAATCAAAACATGATAGTTTATTGTTAGAATGTCAGTTTTCATAGATGTATGAAATTCTCGAATGTAATACAAGCTGTGCTAATACCACAAGAGGTTTCAGGATTACCGGATAATACTTTTACCTGTCACGAAACGTGTTACGCAGCAACACCACGACTCCGAAGGAGGAGTGGTGTTGCTGATAACGCATTGAGTGTCAGGTAAAAGTATTAGGTAGGTAATCCTGAAACATCGAGTGGTATTCAAAAGGTTATACAACGAACTAAACTTTAATTCTTTATCAATTTTTATTATTATTAATAACAATATTGCCACCAAGCGCGATAATCCCAAAAGGCTTATCACTTGTTAAGCCTCTCGTGTCATATGGGAATAATGTACAGTGAGTTGTATAATCAACAAAATTTTGATTTCTGTGATTTTGATGCAAGCTTAACTTTGAGGGTCAATTGCTCAAAAAGTATTTGAGCTATCAGAACCAATTCAGGACGGATTTATAGAGAATTTAATACTCTTTTTAATAATATTATATTAGTAATTAATAATAAATCATGATTTTGTGTCAACCACGGGATCTACACTTTCAACTAATAAATCTACGTCTTCATCTATAAAATACTCGTTCTTCTACCAGATTCTTCAATTATGGAGAGAGAACATTAGAATCATTTTCAGCTTGTTGTTGATATTGTGAGCTTCTAATTTTTCGTATGACATCGAAATTGATCAATAATTGTATGCATCAGAAAGCAATTTTTCTAGACTCATTGAGAAATCCTACATCAGTAGATGAATAAATTCAGCACATCAATAACTTTACTCTCTTGTATCTTTATAATATGATATCAGAATTTCTTATTGAATCCATACATTTTTGAAATCAATCAAGTCCACTCCTGATTTCCAATATAATTTAATCTCCTCAGTTTAGTGGCGCCGCGCCGACTATGAACATTCTTTCACCGGAAACTGGATTCTAAAAGTTGAGAGGGTGAACGTCCCCGAATGAAAAATAGATGAAAATCCTTTTGTTTGCAAAATGCAGTGACTCATTTGGGCTATATTGATCGGTCACAAATCTAATTTAGGACTGTAGAATATTCCTTAACCTTATTATTATCGATCTTGGCTTGTTTTGACGGGTAGTCTGAAATTTCCGTAATTATAGCCTTCATTAAAACACCCTTGAGGCGCTCCAATTTAGAGGCCTTTGTGAGACAAAAAGTGCTTTCCTTTTTTCTAAGAACATACTTTTTCCATTTATATTACTTCTTCTTGGATAAAATGTTATATACGTTTCTTGATTACTTGCATGGCTATGTATATGTGTCATCTCTGTTTTCATTGGAATTTCAAATTCGTATTATGTCTATAAAATAAACTTTTATCGTTGGAACAAGAAAAAGGCTGGAATATAAATTAGATTTATTTAAATTTCTAAGTTACATATAGAAAGGTGAATCCGTTCCAAAGAAGTTGTATAACTGTGTTCGCAAAGAAACTTCTTTTATAATAGGAAATAGGTCCTCGTAGATCATTTAATAAGGGGCAACTTTAGTAAGTTTTGCAAACTTTGAGGACTTCATACATTTCTTATTATTAAATTTCAGGTCGAATATCGATCAATTAATACTAGAAAAAAACGTGAAACTCTATTTTAGTATTCATGAAATGGAAATTTTCGCCTCTACCCTTTGAATCCTTTCAGATTTGCAACTCCTTTGTTACGAGCCCGCAATCTACAAACTTTGTACGTAATAAATGCAATTTCAGCACAAACACGTAACGGTTTTTGAGGTAAATGCACATGCTCATAGCTAGAAC